GGCGCCGGTTCTAGTCCCAGCTGCTCCTCTTCCAATCCAGCTCTCTGCTATGGCCTGGGAAAGCAGTGGAGGATGACCCAAGTCCTTGGGCCCCTGCACCCTTGTGGGAGACCCAGAGGAAGCTCCTGGCTCCCGGCTTCTGGATCTGGATCAGTGCAGCTCCAGCTGTTGCAGCCAAATGAGGAGTGAACCATCAGATGGAATACCTCTCTCTCTGCCTTTCCTTTCTCTGTGTAACTTTGACTTTCAAATAAATAAATAAATCTTTAAAAAAATAAATAACGATTGAGGTCTGCCTCTGTCTTCTACCTCTGGTTATCACTATCTAATATTCTTTTTTTTTAAAGATTTATTTGTTTATTTAAAAGGCAGAGTGATGGTGGGTAGGTGGGTGGTGAAAGAGAGAGAGAGAGAGAGAGAGAGAGAGAGGGAGAGATATCTTTTATCTGCTGGTATACACCAAAATACCCAAAATAACCTCAACAGCTGACATTAGGCTAGGCCAAAGCCATGAGCCTGGAATTCTATCCAGGTCTCCCCCATTGGTGATAGGGAGTCAAAAAGGGCCATCATTTACTGTTTTCCTAGGTGCATTTAACAATAAGCTGGGTCAGATATGGGATAACTGAGATTGGAACCAACACTTTGATAAGGGATGTTGGTGTTCCTATCATTGTCCTAACCTGCTGTACCACAATGCCTTCCCTTGTGACAAATTATTTTAAGAGTGACTTCTTTCCTAATATGGAATGAAATGTTGGACTTGCTAATTGTTCCCCATTCTCAACCTCACAGAGGATTTTCACAGTATGTAAATTCTTTTAACCAGGACTTGATGAGTTTAAAGAAAGAAGAGTGAGAAACGAATGTGATATGAAACTCTGGAGCCAAAGATTGGCAAGTTGACATTTAAAGATAAAAAATAACATTCTCAAAATTAAAAATGTATGAAAAGATATGATGCAGAAAAGACAGACTGATTGTGACCACGGAAAGATACAAGAAGAACAAGAAAAGGACCATGTTCCCAGGGCTCAGTTGTAGAAAAAGTGGAAAGCCTACAGAACATAAGAATGAATTTGTGAACCAGCAAACTACAAGGTTGCAGGAGGCTACCAGCAACTCCTGTACACAGAAGCTGATGGGATGCCATCTTCTCAGAGTGAGGTGAGAGGAGCTTGCAAAAGCCCAAACACAACAGACGATCTTGAATGAGGGAGAACCCTGCAGTTGCCCCTAACTTTGAGGCTGGCCTGGAGAACTGGTGGGAGTCAGAGAACCCAATTAAACCCATGCAGCGAGGGCACATTGTATTCTTCTCCTCCACCCCCACCAGAATGCCCAGTGGTATGCTGGGAGAAACAAGGTTAGTGGAGGTTGCTATGATCTGGGTACCACTGGCGGATTTTGTCTGAGGGAGAAGTCTATAGTCCCTACTGACTTTGAGTTTGGCCTGGATTGTTGGGGCAGGGGGCAGGACACTCATTCAGCTCCATAAGGATGCACATTACTGTTCTACATTTCCCCCACCAAAGTGCCAGACACGGCTTGCCAAGGTGGAGCACCGGCTGACCCCAGGCAGACAGGTGGCTAGCTTGTAAGATGGAGTGATACACTTCAATCAGAGATAGGCTTGTAAGACAGAGAGTGGATCCCCCTGCACCCTGTAACTGTGGCATAAATTCTCCAATTAAAAGACATAAACTGAATGGATTAAAAAACAAGACCCATTTATTTGCTGCCTACGAGGAACACACTTCACCAACAAAGATACACACGGACTGAAAGTGAAAGGATTGAAAAAATATATTCTATGCTAATGGAAAGCAAAAACAAACAGATGTAGCCATCCTAATATCAGAAAAAAAATAGACTTTAATCAAAAACTGTTAAAAGAGACAAAAGCATTATGTAATGATTAAGGAATCAGCTCAACAGAAAGTTGTGACTTTAGTAAATGTTTATATACTCAATGCCAGGGCTGCTGGCTATTTAAAACAAATATTAATGGTTCTAAAGGGGACACAGACTCCAATACAATAGTAATAGGGGACTTCAACACCCCACTTTCATCCATGGACAGATCAACTAGGCAGAAATTCAACAAACAACAGAGCTAATCTGAACTGTGGACCAAATGGAGCTTACTGATATCTACAAACATTTCATCCCACAGATGCAGAATACAAATTCTTTTCATCAGTGCATGGAATAATCTCTATGATAGACCATATGATGAGCCATGATGCAAGTCTTAAAAAATCTAAAAATTGTACCATGTATCTTTTCTGACAACAATGGAATGAAAATGGTTATTAACAACCTAAGACACTCTAGAAAATATGTAAGCATATGGAAACTGGCCAACACACTCCTGGATGAACAGTGGGTCATAGATGAAATCAAAAGGGAAATAAAAAAAATTCCTTGAAATACATATAGATGATAATACAGCATATCAGATCTTATGGAATACAGTGAAAGCAGTCTTAAGAGGAATGTTTACAGAAATTAGTGTCTACATCAAGAAACTGAAAGCATATCAAATAAATTATTTAACAGTGTATCTCAAGAACCTAGAAAAACAAAAACAAACCAAATCCAAAATTAGTAGTTTGAAATTTAATAAAAGTTGGAGAAGGAACAAACAAAATTTAAATAAAAAGCAAAAAAAATTAATGAAATGAAGAGCTGATTTTTTGAAAAAAAAAAAAAGGAATAAGATCCAATTTCCACCAAATGATGACTGAGTAGCAAAAATGTCATATGTATACATGATGGAAATACTACTCAGCCATAAAAAGTATGAAATCCTGTCTTTTGCAAAAAAATGAATGCAACTGGAGACCATTGTGCTTAGTGAAATAAGCCAGACCTCAAAAGATAAATATCATGTTTTCTCTAATTTGTGGTAGATAATATATAGTGTAAAAAAAACACAAACTGAATGTAAAAGAGTGAAATTGACATTATATTTTGATTATCAATTATAACCCTTGGCTATATTTCTGTGAAACAGTGTTCTTTCTAGTTTTTACTTGTTGAATACTGTATTTAGTGAAGTATTAAACTACTATGATTATGAAATAAGGGGAAATTATGTTACCTTAAAAATTAAATGACAAAAAAAAAGGAAAGGAAGGAGGATAGTGGAAGGGAGTAAGGGAGGAAGAAAATAAGGATCCTTATGTTCATAGACTGAAATCTGTTCTATTTATATTAACAAAAATATTAAAACATAAATAAAATTCTCAAAGACTTCATTGTGTTAGAAAATGTACCAAACACTACTATTTATGGATAGAGCAATCTTAAGATTTTCAAAAAATGCATGCTCATCATGGAAAAGTAAGTGATAATGACTATGCTTACTGGATTACAATTTCTTAGAAACACGAGACATAATTTGATGACGGGCATAATTTATAAGACCTTTTCAGGTGTGAGAAGGTTCCAGGGCCCGAGAGTCCAGGCAACAAGGCATTTGCTGGAGGTGAATGTGTCCATTTCATGAGACAATGCAAAGAAAGTAGGAAGTAACCCAAGATCTGACTTTAAGAGTCTTGCTAACTTTATATCACCACCATGTTTGTTCTTTTTTTTTTTTCTTTTCTTTTAAGTATGAATGCTTTAGAATGAAAGGGATAGTGGATTTTATTCTAGAGGCAACATATAATGGGGAAAACTGGCTAGTTGGTGTCCCACTACATGGAATACATGGTCTGAGAATTATGGTCAGGTGCAGTGTGGAAGCAGTTACAAACAAAACATATATGTAGGATAAGATTGTAGCTCTCAGGTCCTAGAAGAAAGAACACAGATGTGTCTATTTGAGACAGGGCTCTGATCCCAAGCAGTAAAAGCAGCTACAATATCCTGAAAAAATATTTTAGTGGAATGACTAAAACAGTTAAAAATCTCTAAATTCCATTTTTGTTACATATTACTATGTAAACTGTTTATATGTCATCTAAGAATTCATAATTCCACTATTCTTCCAGTGGAATGTATCTCCATGGAAATGGTTAAGCAACAGGAAGTCAGGGTTTAAGTTTAAGTCATCCATTTCTGCATTTGCAAAGCTTATCGAGTGCCAAAGTCATCCTGCATAAAAGAAAAAGTGACAGAATATCGAATGAAGAAGATCCCGCAGCCCTCCCACTCCCTAGTTAATGATAAAAGCTGCCCAACCCATGAAGATTGGCTTGATGGATTCCATCTCATGCTTGGCATTTGGTTTTTCTCTCACCACTTGTCTATTTAAGATTCAGAACTGTCTGTGATAATGTTCTTTCTGAGCTTGAATTTAAATAAACCATTTTACACAATCGTGAAGATGAGTGAATGGACAATTTCACTTTTCATGATGACCCAGTATATAACAAACAGGAGGAAACCTTCTAATGGGTGGCGTTTCATGTAAGAAGTGTCAAGAGGTTCTGGAAATCCAAGGGGAGCACAGGGTGTCTGGAGTCTTTGAGCCTCTGGCCCTGCGGGTGGTTCTAGCAGATGCAGACATCTACGAGGGAAGCCTCAGTGGGAAAGAGAAAAGTGTCCCTTCATGACTATATAAATTGTCAGATTCATAGGAGCGGCCCTCTTACCCCTGCAGAGATGATATCTTTCAGCCATAGCAGAGTGACTTCACTGTGATAATTTTGCCAACCCTTAACAGGGACCAGAACATTGTAAATATGGGAATATTTAATTTCAACTCTGCAGAGACCCACAACCAGGTCCTATTGTTAACAATTTCTCTAAAGTTCATCTCTGGAACATTTAAGAAGCAATACAACTTCCACACTTAGGCTGCAAGTTCCTGTTCTGAATTATTTCCTGAACTCCTTCATTATTTACTGAGATTCCTGAAATACAAACAACCAGAGTGTTATCAGGCAGAGGCAGATCCCTTGAGCCTTTTATCATTCTGGCTGCAATTTTGCATATTTCCTTTATAACCAGACAGCATACCAAATGAAGCTAGACTCTTTAAAAGGAAATGAGGCAATTGGAATGTCAATTTTATTTAGCAATATATTGTAAAAACTAAACAGCATATCCGGCTGATTGACAAAATCCATCCAACTGTTAAAGGCAAAACAAAACTATCTCAAGAGGTACAGTTATGCAGATCTTGCTTTTACCTACAGGCAGACATTTAAAGAGAGACAGAGACAGAGAATATTGAAACAAAATGCTACACCTGGAATTTTCTGACTGATGAAATTCAGAGAGAGATTTAAAAACAGGGATCTCATGTCATGTTTTCTTTTTTCTTCTTTAATGAGCCTTTTAGCTTCTTCCAGAGGCTGTCCTTTCTCTTCAGTTTCTTCTCCATCAAGGATGGTGTGGATTCCTTTTTGCGGATTTCCCTCACTAAGCCATGAAAGGCATCATCAATACAGAATCTGAGGGCTGCAGAGGTCTCAAAAAAAGCACAGTTATATTCTCGGGCCAGATTCAAGCCTTCTTCTGTAGAGACCTAAGAGGAAAATAAATGATATTAAAAAGAGAAGGAAAAGATCTTTGCATCAAAAAATAGACCCTCTATTAGAGCTGAGAGCTTCAGTTATATGAGAAAACAGTAAAATGTGAGAATATATTTTAAGAAATATTTCCAGAATTTCTGAATTGAAGGAGAAATCAGAAATTAGAATTTCTGAAAGTAGAAGTAATGAAAATTCATTTTATAGAGAACAGCCTTCCAGACTTCCAGAGAAGCAACAAAGCATAGTGGTCAAACTCATGGTTTTAGATTAAAACTACTTAATTTTGAATCCTAGCTAAGCTATCTTCTATCTTTGCAAAGCTGAGTAAATTCCTCAACCTTTTGGCCTCAATTTCTTTATCTGTGCCATTTCATAAGATAATAACACCTACTTCACAAGATACTAACATAATAACACATACTTCAAAAACTCTATGATAGTTACATGAAATCTGATGAAAGGTGACAAAATACAAAATGCCATTGTCATTGATACATCAGCATTTTTCTAGGTGAGCATTGAACAGTGGCCTTACAGCTTCACAAGTCTTTGTGACACAGGTACCCATGCCACATGCTATCTGTGCCTCCTTTACCATCTCTTCAGTGTCTGTATCAGTTGTTGGTGCCTAAGTCACCATTAAAAGGATTAGAGCAATTAAAAGAATGAATAATAGAATTACCCAGGGTTTAGTAAGTATTAACTAAGTCAAAAACACAAATTATGCACAAATATTTGTTTTTTTATTTTATTTTATTTTTTTATTTTTTGACAGGCAGAGTGGACATTGAGAGAGAGAGAGGGAGAGAAAGGTCTTCTTTTTGCCGTTGGTTCACCCTCCAATGGCCGCTGCGGCCAGCGCGCTGTGGCCGGCGCACCACGCTGATCTGATGGCAGGAGCCAGGTACTTATCCTGGTCTCTCATGGGGTTCAGGGCCCAAGCACTTGGGCCATCCTCCACTGCACTCCCTGGCCACAGCAGAGAGCTGGCCTGGAAGAGGGGCAACCGGGACAGAATCCAGCCCCCCGACCAGGAATAGAACCTGGGGTGCCGGGGCCGCAAGGCAGAGGATTAGCCTAGTGAGCCATGGCGCCGGCAAATTATGCACAAATATTTGAATATTGGACCATATGTCATTGTAGCTGGTGTTAAGCAGTTTTGTTCAAAATGTAGTGTTCTCATAAAGCCCACCCAGATTATCCGTCGGAAACCCTGAGTGACTAGAACTAGAACTACAGTATCTCTCAGCTACCCACATTGGATGAGTGGGACAAACAACTGAGAAATAATGTTTTTATAATCAGCTAGAATTGTGTGTTGTTCATAATCATGGCAGAAACCAGCTTTCTTAGTGATATACCACACCATCTGGCTAGTAAGTAGCTGAACAGGGGTGGAAAATCGATCAGGTCTATCCGATTCCAAAGGCAGGTCCTTCACTATAGTCTGTGATAGATTGATCTCACCAAGGGATATTAAATAGAAATGAATAACTGTCATGTTTTAACCCTGTAAGAAACAGAATGTCTGGATTCTCTTTCTTCTCTTTTATTCCTTGAGGGCACACACACCAATCTTTTTTGAACTCATTTCTAACTTATAGTAACTTAAGAATTGCAACTAGCAACTAAGCTGGACACTCCTATAAGTGGGAGTTAAAATTAGAAAAGAAGAAAAGAAAGAAATGCTTGTGTCTATCGGTATTGTCAATCTTTGTTTTAAAAAAAGAAATGAAGTTAAAAGCAATCTACTACAGATATTAACATTCTATCTTAGCAGCAACTGAGCAACATTACAAGTTTATTAACTGATTTACTTGATTTTTAAGTTATCACAAGCAATAATTTTACCACATATTTTGACCCTACCTAATTTGAGTTTCCATTTATTTTATAGTCCCCCCTCAGAATTTTCCCAACTGAGAAGTCAATGACATATATTCTACATTTTTCCATGGCAACATTACCTTTTTGGTGAATTTCTATTAAGATTTTTTTTTAAGATTTATTTATTTATTTGAAAGTCAGAGTTACACAGAGAGAAGGAGAGGCAGGGAGAGAGAGAGGTCTTCCATCCGATGGTTCACTCCCCAATTGGCCACAATGGCTGGAGCTGTGCCAATCCAAAACCAAGAGTCAGGAGCTTCTTCCAGGTCTCTCATGTGGATGCAGGGGCCCAAGGACTTGGGCCATCTTCTGCTGCTCTCCAGGCCTTAGCATAAAGCTGGATCAGAAGTGGAGCAGCCGGACCTTGAACCAGCACTCATATGGGATGCTGGCACTGCAGTGGCAGCTTAACCTGCAATGCCACAGTGCTGGCCCCAAGATTGGTTTTTATTTGGATAAATGTATACCAAAATAATTAAAATGACTGTTACTTGCAAAAATGTTTATTTTTTCCTCACTGCTCCTTTGCAGCTGTGAATAGACTGGCACCTTGGCTCTATGTTCTTTGTTAGAATCTAGTTTGCTCCTCCTCTTCCCTTATTCTGAGACTCAGATGGAAAGAGCAATCTGAACTAAGGTATGATGTTACCAAGAGAGAAGGCATGTGCACAAATGGCAGAGACAATTTACCAACATCTCAATGGTCAAAATAAACATGAAGAAGCCTTCATCAATCAGACAGGCTTTAGACATTGAAGCATGGCAAGAGTGCAGAGGAAACAAACCATTGCAAGCAAATAATAGAACTCCTTATAAGTATACATGAATATAGTATAATTTCCCCAATGTAAAAAGATTCCCAGACCAAAATTTTTAAGTCTTTCAAATATTGCTTTATATGTGAGGATATACAATAATAAAATTTGAATGTATATATATTCAAAAAGAAAGCTGGTGTAGTGATGTAGATATCATTAAAAGTAGACCATAAGTAAAAAAGAGCACTACAGAGGTAAAGAGAAATATGTTTTATAATTATAAAAATATCAGTCTACCAAGAAGATGTTATACTTATGAATTTGCATTTATTCAGAACTGTAGTCTTGGTTTATATGAGGAAAGAATTGACATAGCTAAATATCCAAAAATGTAGTAAACATTTAACATTTCTCTCAGCTGTTAAGTAATACATAGGCAAAAATCAATAAGGATTTAGAAGATTTGAACAAAATAATAAACATAATTGATCTCACTTATCCATTATATGTGAGATAGAGTACCCAACAAGTAAAAATTGCATTCTCTTCAAGTAAGCACGGAACGTTTTAAAAAACTGATTTCATGTTAAATGACAAAACATTCATGGACTTAAGAGTGAAATAGTGACTGCAAATGCCTAAGTCAGCAGGGATATTGCCCCCTGCTGTGAAGAGATCCTGCAGCTGGTTCTCATTTAGCATGACCTTTCAACAAACCTCTACTATAACCAGGAAACATCAAGATGAGCAAGGCAGCATCTATCAAACCTAAATAAAGAATGAGCCTTAAGTTTTAGGTCCAGGGGCCAGCACTGTGGCACAGCAGGTTAAACTATGCCTGCAGTGCCAGCATCCCATTTGGGCACCCATTCAATTATCGGTTGCTCCAGTTCCAATCCAGCTCCCTGCTAATGGTCTAGGAAAGCAGCAGAAAATGGCCGAAGTCCTTGGGTCCCTGCATCCATGTGGGAGATCCAGGTGAAGCTCCTGGCTCCTAGCTTCAGGCTGGCCCAGCCCCAGTCATTGTGGCCATTTGTGGAGTGAACCAGAAGATGGAATATGTCTCTCTTTCTCTGTGTCTCTGTTACTCTGATCTTCAAATCAATAAATAAATTTTTAAAAATAAAAGTCTTAGGTACATTGTTGGAATAGGAATTAACAACTCCATTGGCTTCTCCATGCATATATTGTGTATGTGTGTATGTGAATTCAACAGACCTATTTAATCAATCACATCTGTTAGCTATTACCAGGTATTCTTCAATATTCAATGATTTTGATTTTGAATGTGACTGATGATCACACATATGTGTAGTGTATTATTTAAACCTTATTCAATGTCTGTATCCACCCTGTAAGAAAAGGTAAAATTTGTAACCAAATTCAGATTTGCAGAACATCTTCCTTATTGAGATCCAAAAATAGGGTAATTAATGTACTCTTCTGATAAATTATATTTTGCCTATTCAAATCACAAGTAAAATGAAATATATTTAAGTCACCAATGTTCATCCACATATCAAAATAGCTACAAAGAAGGAAGTATGTAAGAAGAGAATTAAAATTTCCTATTTTCCAAATGTATAGCTTTAGACCCAGAAAGGCTAAGCAATGGTCAGGAAATGGTTCAAGGCCAGACATCTAATTAAGAAAAACAGCCATCAAGTTCTTTTCTTTTCCATCAAGTATTGTTTCCAGTCCTTATCACTATTTCTTACGGAATCATTCCAACTACCTTCTCTTGTATTTATTTAGTTAATCATAATGGTGTGAGGCTTTAGAATTTAAAATTATTCTTAAGTAGTAAAAAAATGGCAATGATTATTTCTATTATATTCATGTAAAATAAAAATTTATATAAATACAAAGACACAAGAGTGAGAGAATAAATATTATTAGAAGATTATTTTGGGGATGGGGAGCAATTGGTTTATAGAGCATTATACCACAGTTCTCCTCAATTACAAAGAAGGGAAGTTTGTGATTTAATGAGCCACCTGGAGGTCTTAGAAAGCAATGACAGAAAAGAAAAAGGAATAAAAATATTCCATACAAGTAATAGAAAATTTCAATAACCCAAGGGGGCCATCTTTTTAATATATATGACCTTTTTCACCGAGGAAGATGAGCATGTAATATGCTAGGTGCTCCCTGAATTCCCATTTCCCATCTGCCAGAGGAGACATTAGAATAGTCACAGCTGCACAGGGGGTTGATGAGACTACTGGGGCATGAGGGCAAGCAAAGCCTCTTCCAGACCAGGACCAGCTGCTAGTGGGAAACAGCTCCACCAAGGCCAATTAAGAGTTCCAGTCCCAACAATCAGCTGACCCCAGGAGCTTCTTGGG